GCGCGGCACCAAGGCTGTTCTTGTCAAGGGGCGTGACATGAGCGTGGCACAGGGACTGGACTACGTTGCCGCGCGAAACTCGGCATCGATGTCTTTCCAGGACGTTGCTGAGGCCATTCGAGCTCGAAAGGAGAAACGAAAGCCCGCATTTTCCAAGCTCTAATGGATAACCTAGTTTAGCTAAAATGTGTTTTGGTTTGCTTAAAGGACTTTAATAATTGCCACCAATTGTGCTAGTAGGCATCATCATTTGATTTCTAGGTGTCACTGCTTAAATTTTATATGTTTGGTATTGGAGCATCCTCACTGCAACCATGAGACCAGTATTATGATTTTTTTATGTTGGTTTTTTTTCCTATTCAAGCGAATCCCAAGTTCTATGTCCTAACTTTCTTAGAAACTGTGTCTAATAGCTTGTGTGCACAAGAATTGAAGACCAGATCTCTCTAAAGGATACCAATCAAACTATTCAAGTGAGAGCTTTTGATAGAAAAACAGCTAAACCTTGTTAAGTTCTAGCAGCCCAATCCCTCATTTGCAAATAGCAACTCCTCAGCAGTTATAATAGGATTTTCTCTGGGGAAATTAGAATATGCCAAGCAGGAAACCAAATATGCTCAACTCTAAATTGCAACAGAGACAAGACAGCCATGAGATCTTATTAAAAGATTATGGAATGTCTAAATCTCTCTTGCTCAAGTTGAACTACATACAAGGACAATATGTTGGATATTGGCCAGGTTCTTTACCACAGATTTCATAAGCCCAAGTGTTAAAAATCCTCTCATATAGACTGTACACAGAATCCCTCAGCAACTGCAATGGGGAGTGGGGAGTTTTCTGAAGCTGGATTTGGTGCAGCATATCATCGTTTGACCGTGAATATTTTAGAATATGCCTAGACTGAAAACTTAAATAAATATAGTAATGCAACTTTTAAACAAACAGGTCATTTGGCGGTCAGAAGGGTAACATGTTCTTGGTGAGCTCCTCAGCTCGCTGCCTTAATCACCCCAGCATGTGTGGCAGTAGTGCTCCATAATCGGCTGGAATTTCTGCAAATCCCTAATGATCTAGAGGAAACAATCATGGCTATGAGAGTTTTGCATCAATGTGCTAGGTTTTTGTGATGTCTTAATGGTCAAATCAAAGTCCTGGACAATCATGAACAATGCTGATGAAGGCTTTGTTTGTGAAGATATGCCATTGTGCCCCTCAAGGTAGTCCAAGGCCCTGCTTAAACCACCTTTTCTTCTTTTTTAGGGTTTGTCAAATATAACTGCAATATGGATAATAAAGGATCATTGTTACACAATAGCATTATAAAGATATGTTATTTTAACAAAAACAATTGTGTTATTTTATGTAAATTTTAACTACTTAAAATATTAGTAGCAAATTGGCTTTAGTTACAAATTTTATGTTGCAATTTATGAATTTTTTTATATTCATACAAAATTTAGTTAGAAAATAGAGTTATTCTTTACAACAGAATATATATCATAATTTATTGTTGCAATTTACAGTTTATTCTTTATAACTAGACCATTTCATTAGTTAAATGCAACTTAGTAGCAACTAAAATATAAGTCATTAAGATGTTGCAGTAAAACAAATTCAATTATGAACTTCGTAATAAAGGATATTCTTATTAAAGCTAATAAGAAGCTATATTTCCTTATCTAGGATTTAGGAATCAAAGTTGTATGCTGGTGTTTGAGGTGTGGAGGTAATTATATTTGCCTCATATGGATTATCACAAATTATATTCATCTTTATAGTAAACATCCTTCAATACATTTCTGGTGGAAGATATCAAAGGGATTAAATTATGTAGATTTATTTTTAACATACAGTTTTATAATTCCTATGATGGTGGTATGAATTTGGGTGGTGGTAATGGTGGTGATAATGATAATATTAAGGATGATAATGCATTTGATTATTTCTTTAAATGATTACATGGGAGTGAAGACAATTTATTACCTACTTATAGAGGGGTTAGTACTTCTATTTTATCTACATTTTTAATTAATTTAAATGTTCAAGTTATTACTAGAATATCAAGCCAAACAATAGATCATTTCATAACATAAGTAATTTTTAATACAATTCAGTATTAATTTGTCATTATTTGGATGAAGGCTCTCCAAACAAATCTGGTATACATTCCTACTATTCCAAGCTTTCTTTGAATTACAAAGCAAAGCCCTGGTGCAATTTGGATCCCAAACATTGTGCTTTAAGGTAAGGAACCATGTTTGTGCAATTGATTCAGTTTGCCTTCTTGACCTAAGAAAGAAAAGGATTTTCATGATTATCAAGAAGGTATATTCATGATGAACTTATAGTTTTACTTGTTTAGTTTTTGTAAATATTTTTATCAGTTATTCAGAAATATGGCTAAGTCTTAGATATAGGTACTAGCATTTGGCAAGGCAAGTGGTCTTAATGCTTGTTTTTGACTTTAGAGTTTTCATTTTTCCTATTTTAAAAGCTTGAAGGTGCTCTTGATGAATTCTATTTGGGTTGTGGATTAGAATATAAGTAGTTTTATTTTGTGCTAACCATGATTGCTCTACATTGTCTCTCTTGCACTCCAAGGATCTTGGGATATTTAAGAAATATCCTGCAACGTAAGGAGTTTAGTGATTCTCATGGTTTTCACTACAAGGAGTTCATGGTAAGTATGAAAATTTTCCTTTGATTTCTCTCATCACTCACTACTATGTATTGTCAATCTTCTCCTACATCCAAACATAAAATGGATACAAGTAAGAGTATAGTAGAATTAGAGTATGGTAAGAGTAGTTGTTCTTTGTTTTATTGGGCTGAGTCTAAACTTTTATCTATTCAAGGTATGATACTTTTAACACTCTCAGTGGCTCTAGTTTTCCTCCAAGCAGAAGATTTCTTAGATTTCTCAAAACAGAAAAACTAACTTGTAAATTGTGATTTTCCCCTAGTGTTGCAAGGATGCTTCCATGGAAAAATTTAATTTTTATACATGACTGATTGATCTGTTGCAAATTGTGAAGTTTGAAGACAACAAGAACATCATAATGATGCTTCCATAATGATCTAAAGGTGACTATGTTCCCATTATATCTTCCTCTCTTTTTTTATCGAAAGCTAAATTTTCCTAAGAGAGAGTTTCCTATGAAGCACTGGCTAATGCTACTATTATAAATGACATTGTTAAGATTAAGGGTAGTTTGTGTCAGTCACTCGATTGCAACTCACTTGTAAGGTGGGTACAACAATATGAATTTCTCTTTCATGTTTTTTAATATGAATTGATTTCTTTCCATAATGGCATTATTATGGGAATGTTTCACCTTGACTTGCCTCTCAAAAACTAGATCAAAAAGACTGTTGTAGTAACAAAACTTTAGCCAAATGAAGCTAAAGACAATCACAAACAAGGATAAGTGATGAAAAATTATATTATTTAGTAGCACTCAAAGTTATCTTAGTATAGTATCACTCTTAATCTTGTATTTGCCACATCAACATTTAGTATATTTGACCATGACACTTTATTATGGATTATTGTGTATGATTTGTTGATGGCCTATGTTAGCTCAAGATATGCAATTTTGTTAGCTCTATATTAGCTTCAACTGTGATTTATTGGTTATAAATTAAACTATCAGCTATTTATTTTACATTTTACTATAAACAACTAAAATTTTCTTTAATAACAGCTTAAAATATCATCACAATAATGACTTAAAATTTATTCAAACATAATAACTAAATATATTAGTTTTTTATTTATAACTATTATAAATTACTTAAAATTTAGTCATAAATAGAAATTAAAAATATCAATTAAAAAAAATTAATTTTGACTTTAAATATAATGACTACTAACAACGAAACATAAAGTCTTAAAACTATTTTCTTAAATTTTAGGTTACAAATATCAACAAAAAATAATAACTCAATGACAAAAATTTAAACCATTTTTTTCAACCTTAAAGAAACTAGGCTTCACTCTTTTGGACAATTGTGACCTTTTAATCTTAAAAATAAAGCCAATGAGCTTAAAAGCATTTATATCGCCAGCAAAAATTAGATTTAATGGCTTTACATAATAGTGCACAATGCGGTGACAATTACGTAAATGATTAATTTTCATATATCATGCTTTTCAAATAAATTTCAATCTTCTTTAGAAGAAAAAAAGTGCTCTTTATCAGGAATCTCTTAGTAACTTGCAAGTTTCTATAGACACAGTGTTTTGAAGTTTAGAGTAGCAATTTAAGTGTGTTAGAAGAAATTTTGGAGTGTGTGGAGAGAATTTTGAGCTCATCCCATCTTTCTAATGTAGGAATTTTTGTGTTGCTTGTGACCAACTGTAGAAACATAGTGACCCAAGTGTAATGGACAATTGGAGTGGCAAGGAGAGAATCCTGGCAAAAGAAAGAGCTTGCCACCTTCTTTGGTGAGTTAGGTTAGAAAATCTTAACATGCATTGCAAACAGCCTCAAACCAACAGTGTTTCCCAAAGCTGAGGAGTGTGTGGGACAGAGTCAAAAGGCATTTTTATCACGGCCAACTTGGAGTGAAAGAATCATTAGAGAGGCTGTGCTCAGCATCTCCTTGGTGCTGCAAGGCAGCAATCTTGCTGCAAAAAGGCCCCTAGGGCTGCAATTGGTGAGCTGGGTGAGCTCAGGAGCAGCCAACTTGGACTATTGCACCCTGGATAAAAGCACACACTCCATCAGGATATATTGAAGGTTTGGGCAAACAACAAAATCTTATACCTTGGGGCTGTGGAAAGTTTGGTGGCTGCTATAGAGCAGGAGACATACTTCTCAATCACAATGAAAAATTAGAGAAATAGTTTTTTCTTTGGAAATAAACAAAGGCTTTCTACATTTTTGTTATTCGTACTAACTTTTAGATAAATAATGAAACCGCGTAGCCATTTACTCTAGATTTCCAGAATAAGCATAGCTTCTATTCGTGGCAATTTCCGTGACAACAAGTCAGCATCTTCTAGAGACCCAAACGATTCAATTCGAGGACCACGTCACACAGCGCTCTAGAAGACGAGTTCTTCCTTTACATGTGTGTTCCAAACTGAGCCGCAAGAACATATTCCATTAGACTATTCCCTTTCGTTTTCTTTTTTTCGTCACGAGCACGATGAAGTTTCTTGTGATTACTTGCTGCTGCATCGCGATCCAGATCCTTGGCACTGCTGCTGAAGGAACGGATTACTACGTTGGCGATTGGACGACTGGAGTGAATTTCACGCAATGGTCTCAAGGCAGAGTCTTCCACGCCGGTGACATACTGAGTGAGTATAACTCTACCTCTATAGAGCGCGAGGAACTTATAAATCCGGTGTCTTGGGCGATTTTCTCTGGCAGTCTTCACAGTCTCCGCGAGTGATACCATCCTCCGGGTGCCAAAATCTGTCTATGATGACTGCAAGTGGGATTTGCGCTTCCCTAAGATCTTCCCACATCCAGGAAACACGACATGGAACGAGACGGTGGTGCCATGGGTGGGAGAAAACTATTACGTCTCTTCGGTCCAGGACAATTGCAACGCTGGGAAGAAGTTTATGGTGAGCGTCGAGTCTCCTCCGGTTTACACTCCGACAGAGTACACGGTTGGAGATGATCGAGGATGGGCTCCAGGTGTGGATTACTCGCAGTGGACTGCCAACAAAAACTTCTACTTTGGGGATTCTTTCAGTAAGTTGTTTAGATATTTTTTTTTGACTTGGAAACAATCTGGGGTTTTTCCAGGGTTTTTGTTCAATGCCTCGCAGCACTCGGTGGTGGAAGTTTGGGAGCCCGGTTACCAGCTTTGTAACGAGTCCTACTTTGTGCCGGTGCTCGGACTCGCGTCGAGGCAAAGCGATGGAAGAACTTTGCTCAAGGTGGTGCCACCTCTGGGAATGCGCTACTACACGAGCGCCAATGGGAACGATTGCCAGTCGGGGCTCAAGATGGAGCTGGAGATCAAGCCACAGTACGAGGCTTTTGCTCCATCTCCATCGCCAGAGGAAGCATTCTCGCCCACTGGTGGAGTTGCCGGACAAGAAACCTCCGCTGGTTATAGATCGATGACCTCGCTTGGATCTGGAGCGGCGATCGTGGTGTTGTTGCTGCTCGCCATAGCTTGATCGCGATTTATATTGTTTGTGTGGTTTCCATTTCTTCTAATAAAACTACTTAAGTAATAACAATGTTTCTTAACTTAAAATATCATAGAATATTCGTAAACCTTAAGTTGTTTCGATTGAAGTTTCAGTGTTTGGCAACCATCTTTCCCAATCAAATTTGATACGATTTGAATCTATCCTGTTTGGTGAAATTTATCTGAGTATTTAAACATGTATCATTTCAAAACTTACAACACACACTTTTCCTGTGCATTTCCCCTATTTCTGCATTAATCAAATGGCAAAGTTAAATGTGGCAATTGTTGCCTCACTCCTGTACCTCTTCTTAGCATCCACAAATGTTTTTGGCATGGACGTCTCTGTTCCAGAGCATGATTTCTCACTCAGTGAAGATCTTTCTGGTATATATATCTATCTCTCACTATATATATTAGTAACCTGTTTGTACTGAGTTTTACTAATTTTTGTTTCATATGATTTTAAAGGTACAATGCGTTCTCTGAAGCAGGCCTCAGGTGAACAGGACATTGGTGTCCCAGCAGATTCGGTTAACAGAGTGAACGGCTCACTTCAGCAAGTTATAACCAACCTGAATGACGTTTGTGTTAAAGTTCCCCTTCTCAAAGTAATATTTCTTCCCATCATCATCATCCTTGAGATTATTGTGATTTACGTGCCGGGTGGCTACCCTTGCCCGCAAATAATCATCATCATATGCAAGTATTTCGGGAATGCCTTCCCTGTGTGGTCTCCATTCAGATATATCAGAGTTGATGCAACTATAATTGTAAGCATCCAAGGCTGTATCAGAATTGTGCAAAATGTAATTGTTATTGTTCGTCCTAACAGCTGCATCTATTTTGTACTTAATGGGGTGATTTATATCCTCCAGTCTGGTCTTGCCCTGCTCTATGCAAACTGAGCCCCAAAGTTATATTTAAAATAATAAAATAAAGAAATAAGAATTATTGCGTTGCATTGTTTTGGGTTCTCGATTGTTTAGAGGCTTTTGCTTTCTTAGAGCACATGTTTAAGAGCAAACGAGTAGGCGGCCGAACAGCAGCATGTACAGTAGTTGATACTTGGTCCACGTCTAGTAGGTTCTTATCCACGTGCGTACGATTAACCTGCCTGGGCTATTGGGATCTTGTCTAAACAGCTGCAACAGTTCTCGATGAAGCCAATAACGTTGAAATCACCATCGTAGCCGCCATCGCATCCAAAATACGTCACGTCAATGTCACTGGTGCTCGTTCCAGGGAACTGGCCTCGTTGGTTCTGCCTCAAGTAATTCGCCAGGTTTACACGGTTGCTAACAGCTTGGTTCAACAAGAGCCATGTAGAAGCGGTTGCTCCCATGGTCCCATCCAAAAGCTAAGCAACACCCTGGCCAGTGGTTTCAAAATTCATGAGGCACATCATAGACGTTGCAAACAAGCTTGCCCGACAAGCGAGCAGTGCAGATAATACGTGCACCCGGAACTCCCGGAACACCCGGAACTAATACGTGCACAGAGGAAGACTTGAGAGCTCTTCTCACTAGCAGTTTTGACGTGATTATTGTCCTTTCACGGCTATGTGCTAAGAGGCAATACCATTGTGGAGAGGATTTTCAACGCATATTTCCAAAACGATGAGCTTCAGTTTAACATTGGCAGTGAGTCACACCGAGATCGGAGGCCTCGTTGTGCCCACCACCCCATCACGCTGGGCACATCATTTCCTTCTGGGACATACCTTACAATTGACACCAGGGCCAAGTGTTAAACTTAGTGACACTTTTTGTTGGGTGATCAAAGTAAACTCCACTGTTTGCACAAGCATTCTCCCAGCTCCCAACAATGTCAAAGAGTTTTGCTGAGATAATTCATCTTTGACAATATATATACTACCCTGCAAGGAGAACCACAAGAACAGAGCAAGAGACTCCTTCAAGGCCACACTAACTCTTCAACTGCACCATATGCGAAGAGGAGAGCTCCTTTTCAAGTTGTGTGGAAAAGTCTCTTTGATGGATTGTTGACTATTGTTTGTATCTCTCTCCACTGTACAAATATGTGACGATAGAAAAGTCAAGATTATGTTGACAGTTGGTTTCCAGTCTGGGAGAGCAAATGTTCAAGAGCAAAGAATAGGCGGCCGGGTCGTGCTTGAGCTCGAGCACCCGCCCGGCGGCACGCACCGCGCGGTGTACGTCACAGTGGTTGACGCTGGCGGCAAGCAGCGCGGTCCAAGCTACCACGTCGGGCTCGTACGGCATCACGCACAGCAGCTCCTCGGCGTCGCCCAGCTGCCCCGCCCGTCCCAAAAGATCCACCACACATAGGTAGTGATCGAAGCTGGGATCAAGCCCGTGATCCTGGCTCATCCCAGCCGAGCGCTCCAATCCATCCTCGTACAGCCCGGCGTGGCTGCACGCCGCGATGGCGATGAGGAAGCTCACGTCGCTGGGTGTAACGGCGTCGAGCAGCATCGTGTGGAGGAAGTGCAGCGCGTCGCGGGAACGGCCATTCTCGGCCAGCGCCGCGGCGGTGGCATTGTACGGAACCACGGTCCTCCGCGGCATGCCGTGGAATACCGCCAGTGAGCGGTCCAGGAGGCCGAGCTTGCCGTACATGCTAATCACCGCGGTGGCCACGCCCACGTCCCACTCGAAGCTCTTCCCAGCGATCTCGGCGTGGAGGAGCGGCCCCGCCGCCGCCCCCACCGCGGCCACCGCCACCTCTCCGCATGAATCGATCGAGGAGATGAAGGAGATCTTGGTGGGCGGCACGCCCTCGAGGTCCATGGATCGAAAGAGGTGGAGAGCGCGGCAGTGGTGGCCGTTTTGGGCGTAGCCAGCGATCATCGTGTTCCACGACACTGCGTTTCGGTATTGCATGGCGGCGAAGAGCTCCTCCGCCTGCCGTACAAGCCCCGCCTGGGCGTGCGCCGCCACCACCGCGTTCCACGCGTAGAGGTCGTTGTACGGCATCCTCTCCAGCGCCGCCAGCGCGAGCCCGAGCTCCCGGGCGTGCGCCAAGCTCCTCACCATCGCGTCCCAGCACAGCGCATCGCGGCGCGCGATCGATGCGAAGATTTCCCGCGCGCGATCCAGCTTGCAGCATCGGCCATAGAGATGGATCGCGCCCGCTGCGGCACTGGAGTCGCGGTCGAGATCGAGCACCCCGGCACCGAGGAGCTCCTCGCCGGCGGCGGCGCTACCAATCCCGGCCGCCGCGTACACGCCCGCGATCAGGCTCACGCGATCCGCCTGGAAGCCCTCGAGATCCATCCTCCGGAGCGCGTGGATCGCGGCGTGCGGCTCATCGTTGTCCAGGAAGCCCGAGATCATGGTGTTCCAGGTGATGGTGTTGCACTGGATCATTGCCATGGCGTCGAAGATCCTGGCGGCCTCGATCGTCCGCCCGCCGCGAGTGTAGGCTGCGAGGAGCGCGTTCCACGAGACGGTGTCGATGGCGGTGGTAGGCATTTGGTCGAAGACGCGCTGTGCCTCCTCGATCTGGCCTCTCTGGGCAAATGCAGCGATGAGGGTGTTGTGGGCGCGGCCGCTGTGAGAGTTGTGAGAAGTCATCGCCGCGAGGATCGATTGGGCGGCGGCCATTTCCCCGCATTTGGCATACATGGAAACCAGCGCGTTGGCAACTGCGGTCTCGATCAGGATCTTGCGATCCACGAGCCCGGCATGGAGAATTTTGCAAATTTGTAACTCGCCCACGATGGAACAAGCGTACATGGCGCATACGAAGGTGATGGAATCCATCTCCACGCCGTCAAGGTCCATCTCTCCAAAGCATTTTAGTGCTCGACATGGATGCCCTGTTACGGTAAATGCTGCAATTATAGCGTTCCAAGAGACTACGCTTCGGCTTGGCAGTTTTTGGAAGTAGCTCCAGCTTTCGTGGATTTGGGAGGCTCTTGCAAGTATTGTGATCATACTTGTCCATGAGATCAAGGTTCTTTCTGGCATGTTTCTAAAGAGGTGCTGCGCTAGATCAAGATGCCCTTCTTGGGCATTTGCTACAATGAGAATTGTCCACGCCACTGCGCTGGAAGGGCGAACTCTCTCAAACAAATCCTTGGCTCTTTGCAAGCAACGCAACTTAACAAACATATTTATAAGTGCTGTTGCAAGAATTGCCTCACACTCTACTCCGCCGGCAGCAATCTCTTCGTGAATGGCGATCCCTTGCTGGAGGTTCTTACAGGCGCTCACGGCGGCGGCGAGCGCTGCGAGCTGGATATCCACGCCTTCCTGATCCATCCTACTGAGCATCTCCATCGCCTCGCCTCCCCGCCCACTGCGCGCCAATGCCCACAGCAAACCGCGCCACGAGCCGCTAGACCTCGCCGGCATTGTCTCGAAGCACCGCCTAGCACCGCCCACATCCCCATTCTGGGCATACGCTCCC